TCAGCTCATTCACTCTCCAATACAGAAAACATTCCTCATACTAGAAATGTGTTACGTAAAGATTCATAATACTAAAAAAAGAATCAATGCCAAGCATTACTGGTGAGAGAAAGGCTTGCCGCGCACAACCGCCTCTCCCCACTGGAACCACCTTGGAAGCGGGTCAAAGGCATTTCCAAGGAGGAAAGGGGATGGGAGACCTCCACCCCGGGGGGGGGGGGTCGCCTTTCCTATATCAGAGTCCCCCCGTGTATTTCAAAAGAGAGATGGGATGGTGTAAGTGAGAGCCTCTGCAGCCCTTCTCCACTCGAACAAGAGCAGAAAATTGAATGCTGCGTGTGCCAAGGGGGAAGCGGGCATTCTGGCCCTGAAACGGGGCACGCTCCCCCATCAATTCCTCCGGGAACGGGTCCGCACTGCCTCAACAGGTATCCTGCCTGCGCCCATGAAAGCCGAGCCCAGCGTCTGATTCCTGGTGCGGGGGGCGTCAGGAAGGGAGGGCCCCCGCCCCCATCCAAGGCAAGCCCACAAGCCACGGCGCTTTGCACATGCACGTGAGATCTCCGGCAAGGCCCGCCCAGCCTCCCGGGGCCTCTCCGCTGGAGGCGGCATCTCTGCCCGGACTGGGGGTTGGGGGGAGCTAGAGACGCGGGGAGGACAGATAAACCCCCCGCCCCCGTCTTCACAGACAGGAGGGAGGGGCAGCCCTTCCCGCCCCCCCCTCCCCTCCCCTCCCTCACCTCGGGCGGCCATGGCGGGATAGGCAGGAAGGGCAGCAAGAAGCATCACGTCGCCTTGGGCAGCCATGCTGGGCGTGACGTCAAAACCGAGGGGCCTGCGGCGTGGAGAAGTGACGCACATTCGGCCCTCGCCATGTTGGTAGTGTCCGACCCAGAGAGGGGACTTGCCCTTCAACCATGTTGGGACTGGCCTGTCACCGCGCAGGCGCATGTCTAGAGCCACGAAAGTGAAGAGCCGGATTGGATTGCGGCAGCCACAAAGAGCCGCGGCAAGCCCAGCGCCAGCCCCAGCGCCAGCGCCAGCCCGTGTCCCAGGAGAGGCGAAGGGGCTCCGTCCCCGAATTTCCCAAAAGCGCGGGGGAAGGGGCGGCCGCAGCGTGCGGCCCGTGCGTGGGGTGGGCTTCGTGCAGCCGGGGGTGCCTGGTGGCTCTACGCTCTGCAACGGAGGCGTCGGCGGCGCGCCTGGAGTGCCCTCCTGTGGCCACTGTCGAGAATTGCGGCCTGAAGGATTTCACTGGAAAGGCAAATATTAACCCGGTGCTTTTTATCCCATGTGGTGGACTTGTCATAAGGCAAAAAACTATTGGGCTAAACTACATAAATGGTTTGAGGAAATGTTACAAAAATCTTTAATATTTAAACCTGAAGTCTTTTTATTAGGCATTGTGTCTGATGATGTTGACAAACAGGCAACCTATTTGATTTACATGTAGTGATTACTGCAGCAAGGATTGTATTTGCCCCACATTGGAGGAGTGAAGAACCACCTTCTGATGATCTGATTTTTAAAAAGATCCTGGACTGCGCTGAAATGGACAGGCTGACTTTGTCTCTGAAGGAGAAAGAGGATACATACATCTGTCAAACCTGGAACTCTTTTTATTACTGGCTAGAGAAAAGGGACTATGCGCAGATTTGAATATGTCTATGGATTGGTATAAAAAAATGGGGGGGGGGTTGACCCAGCAGTTCTGATGTCTCTGATGATTGATGTTTTTAGTTTTTTTATTTTTTAGCTCATAGAAAATAATAATAATAATAATAATAAAACTTTTTTTTTTAAAGGAAAGGCTTTCTCCAGCCTTTTCTCTCATGAGACATCCTGTTTTCTGAGCCGTTTGTCATGGTAGAGGGAGTCCAAGCCTGGAGAATCTAATCCCTACTTCGAGTAGACGCCGAGCAGGAGAAGGGGATCGCGTCCTGGGGGCAGGTGCACAGGGCAGGAGCGGCACCTCTTCCCCTTCGTACGTCTATAGAACGCCTCTGCAAGGCCGGCCACTACTAAAATGGCGGAGGGCTACACTCCCTGTAAGAAGCCACGACCAAGATGGCGCCTGCGTCGACACTCCCCGCCCCTCCCCTCCCCGCCCCTCTCCGCCCGAGCGTGAGGCACTTCCTTGCCTCTCCCTGCTGGGCCGCTCCTCTGTATCAGGATCGGGGCGGGGGGGGGGGGGGCGGCGGGGGGGCATTCCTGGGCAGGCCGGGGGGCCTGGCCCAGGGGGGGGGACCGGGGGGGTTCCGGCGTGTGTGGGGGGGGGGGCGGGGGGGTGATAGCGAGCGGGGCGCTGCCAAGCCTGCTGTGCACGCCCTTATTGCGACGGGCCGGGTCAGGCAGCGCGGGAGAAACGTTCCGCCTGCGAGCGGCCACGTCCGCACTGCCAAGCGGACGGACCTCCCGGGGAAGAAGGGCAGGATGGAGCCGCGCCTCCCCTTCTGGCGGTATCTTCTGGCTGCCCGAAACACACACGGGGGAACCCTTAGGCCGCCGCACGCCGAACGTCTGGTAAAGGACGGAAACCGGCTGTTCTCCGGGGCCAGGCGTGAGCGCGAAGGAGCGTCACCCTATATATTGCCGCTTCTGAAAGGATAATGCGAGCCGCCGTACAGGCCGCACTGAATGCTTGGGCGCTCTAGCCCTGCGAACCTCTAATGGTCGAGGTGATTGACAGCTGACAGGCCCAATCCGTTACACGGGCGCTCTGCGCGCACTGCACGCCGGTAAATACACCGGTGATGACGCCTGTACGGACTTCCGCGTGTGCCGCTCCAAGGGTTCCTCCATCGTCAGCCTGCACTGATTGTGCCCCCCCCCCACGGCGCCTCGGAGGTCAAACTGAGCCTTTTTGCACCCCTCGCTGCAGTCTTCCCGCGCATGCACTCAGAGTGGCCTCTTTATTTATGAAATAAAGTGCACATATTTGTATACGCTTTGCATGCTGTAATATTTGTGTGTGCGAATCGATGACTGTGCGTGATGGGAGCTGAAGTCCAGCAACGCCTGCTGGCCCCATGTCCTTGATCTCGCTTGAACTTAGCAGCTCTCTTGAACTGCATCCTAAACATTAAAAATGCAGGCTAGCTCTATTCACGGCACATGGGGTGTGTTGCTCTTTAAAAAAGCTAATTTCATGGAAATTTCATGGAAAAGCTAATTCCATGCCTACTCGGATGTAAGTCCTGCTGTGCGCGCTGCAATTTGCTCCCGGGTAAAGTGTGCACGGGCGGGCAATCTCAATGGCAGGCTGCACCAGCGGGCACGGGGGTGAAGGCAGGGCCAGGCGCTGCGGGACCCGGGGCTGCCCCGCAGCACCCCTCCCCGAGACGGGCTCGGGGCCCCAGCGCGAAAGGGGCTCGGGGCGCCTCTATGGGACGAGCCCCGGGGCTTGTCTCTTTAAGGCGCGCTTCAGCCGGCCGGGCCGCGATGGAGCCCGACGCGGCTCAGTGCGGCTAGTTAGCCAGAAGGCATACAAGGGCGCGCTGTGCGGGCGCCCGCGCATTATAGGGACGGGAGGCTGCCGCGGGCGCTTCTCGCCTCGCGAGCACGGCGAGGGGGAGCCTGACGGGCCGCTAAGCGCACGAACAAGGGGGCGAAGAAAGAGGCCGAGCCAGAGTGCTGGGAAAGGATGTTTTGTGCCGCCGCCGCCGCGAGCCCGGAGACGTCGGTGTCGCCTGGGCCTTGCCTGGAGACCTTCGGGCCTTGCCTGGAGGGCTTCGCGAACGCGGCTTCGCGGGGATCCGAGGACGGAGGCGGCGGTGGCGGCGACCTTCCTCCCGGAGACTGAGGGAGCGGCCCCCGCGGCGGCTCGGCTGAGGCGCGCTGCGTTCCGATTGGCTGCCCGGGGACCGGCGTCGCGCGGCCGAGGTAGGCGCGCCTCCGATTGGCTCGCGAATGGGCGGGAAGCGGTGGCGGGCCTGGCGCGCGAGGAGGGAGGCGCCCCGCCCGCCCCGCGCCTCGCGCCCTTTCGCTCAGGCGGTTTCCCCGGAGCAGCAGCCGGGAGGCGCGAGGGGCGGCGGGCCGGGCCGGGCGAGGAGGCGGCCCGAGAGCGGCTCCCCGTGCAAACTCCCCCTCGCGCTGAGGGCGGCCGGGACTCTGGAGAAGGGGTCCTGTGCGGGGCGGCAGCGGGTTAGGGGAGCCCCCTTGGCTTTCCCGGGGAGGAGAAGAGCGCCGTCCATAGGCAGGGTCAGAATAACGACGGGAGCGCCGCCGCTTTCACTGGTCTCGTCCTACCCGCTCTCGGCCAGGCGTCTCTCCTGTCAGAAGAGGGGCGCGCTCTCAGTACCCGCCTCTTCCAGCCTGCAAGTTGGCCCCTGGACGCCGCAGCCCTGCACTTCCCTTCCCTTCCCTTCCCTACCCTACCCTACCCTTCCCTTCCCTTGGGAAGTTGCCATCTCCCTTGAGAAGAGTCCCAGCCGCACCTGCCCTACAGGGTTGCTGTTGTGAGGATAAGAAAGAGCCCAGAGAGCCACCTTGACTTTCTCAGGAGAGGTAAAGGGCCCAATTAAATTCAGTGTAACAAACATAATAAGAATGCGGTTGCTGCTGCTCGTCTCGCCCTAGTCCACTCTTGGCCAGGTGTCTCTGTTGTAAGAAGAGGCAGCTGTTAAAACCCCCTCCTTCCGGGCTGTGGCAGTTGGCCCCTGGATGCCCCAGCCCTGCAGCTGCCCGCACTGGGGAAGTTGCGACCTCCTTTGCAAATTGTATTTGTAAATACGGAACGAGAAATCCTTCTCCACTTTGATGGCAGCCTCAGTCCCCTGGGGGGAAGGTTGACGCTTCCTTGTTGCAACAGGAACTGTTGACTGACATCCCCGAGGACTTCTGGGTCGAGGCTCCTGCAGAGCAGGCCTCCCTGCAAGTGCTAGCCCCGTTAAACTCAAAGTGAAAAAGGGGGTCCGACTTGTTGCATGGCATAGAGACTGCTTCCCCGTGGGCCTGAGAGGGCGTTGCTCTGCTGGTAGGATTCCTTTTCAGCTCAGGACATTGTAGTGCACCCCGTGAGCCGCTCTATGACACTCCTGTATTGCCCCTCCAGCAACTAAGAAGGTAAAAGCCTGTTTTGAAGCCCTGACTCTGAGCTCTGTGTCCTTTGCCCATCTGGTTGGGACACCCCCCCCACCCCCAAATGAGGCCCTCGCTCAGTAATGGCTCTGTGGAGTCAATGGCTCTCTGTGCGGCCAACACCATGTTAATATCCCGGCAAAATGGAACAGTGGAAAGCACAGTAGAACACAGCCCCAAAGACCAGTAATGGTAGAAGCCAGGAGGAAACTAGCAGAGTGAGAGAGAAGTAAAATGCTAGTTTGATAAATCCTATCTTTTCCAATCTCTCTCTTTAAAAGGGGGTCTTTAAAAGCCCCCTCAAGTGGGACCTAAGCAGTTGATGCTAGTGTAGAAGTATGGGGCCCTGAAAGTCATGTCACAGTGGCAGCAGTATAAACTTAAAAGGAGCGGGGAACTGTGCGCGGCTGTCTTACATTGTGAACGGCTCTGGTTCTTGCTCATACGAGGGAACTGTCCCTTTTGGAGTAGC